TGATGATGATGACGATGATGATGATGATGATGATGATGATGAAGATGCTGATGTTGTTAATGATGCTGATGATGCTGCTGGTGATGATGATGCTGACAATGATACTGATGATGATGCTGATAATGCTCATGCTGCTGCTGATGATGATGATGCTGACAATGATGCTGCTGATGATGCTGATGCTGATGATGCTGCTGATGATGATGATGATGATGCTGATGATGATGATGATGACGATGCTGCTGATGCTGATGCTGATGCTGCTGATGCTGCTGCTCATGATGATGATGATGATGATGATGATGATGATGATGATGTTGTTTCTGATGGTGATGATGATGATGATGATGATGATGATGATGATGATGATGATGTTGCTGATGCTGTTGCTGCTGCTGCTGCTGCTGATGATGATGATGCTGATGATGATGATGATGATGATGATGATGATGATGATGATGATGATGATGATGATGATGATGATGATGATGATGATGATGATGATGATGATGATGATGATGATGATGCTGATGATGATGATGATGATGATGATGATGATGTGATTGATGGTGATGGTGATGGTGATGGTGATGGTGATGGTGATGGTGATGGTGATGGTGATGGTGGTGGTGGTGGTGGTGGAAGTGAGGATGGGGAGGAGGATCATGATAACGAAGAGGAGGAGGAAGAGGAGGAGGAAGAGGGAGGAGAAGAGGAGAGGAAGGAGGAGGAGGAGGAGGAGGAGGAGGAGGATGAGGGGGGGAGGAGGAGGAGAGGAGGAGGAGGAGGAGGGGGAGGAGGAGGAGGAGGAGGAGGAGGAGGAGGATGGGAGGAGGAGGGGGAGGAGGAGGAAGAGGAGGAGGAGGACTAGTGGGGCGAAGGAGAAGGATATAGGGGGACCAGGAGGGGGAGAAGGAGAAGGCGACGGGACAAGGATCATGAGGAGGATCCATACAGAGAGAACGAACCACACTACTATGGGAACGCACACACAAACACATGGACACACCCAGGGATACACAAAGAAAGGATGAGGGGGGAGAGAGGGAGGGAGGGTGAGGTATTGGAGAGTAGGAGGGATATTCGGAGGAGGAGGAGGAGGAGGAGGAGGAGGAGGAGGAGGAGGAGGAGGACGAGGGGGAGGAGGAAGAGGATCGTAGCACTAAAGGGAGGCGGAGGCGGAGGCGGAGAGTACAGCAGGACAATTGGAAGAGGATACGGAGAAGGGGGGGGGAAAGGGGGGAAGCGAAGGAGGAGGGAAATGGAGGAGGAGAAGGAAAAGGATGAGGCGGGAAAGGGAGGAGGAGAAGGAGGAGGAGGAGGAGGAGGATGAGGAGGAGGAGGATGAGGAGGAGGAGGAGGGGGGGTGGAGGAGGAGGAGAAGGAGGAGGAGGAGGAGGAGGAGGAGGAGGAGGAGGAGGAGGAGGAGAAGGAGGAGCAGAAGGATGGGAGGGACGGAGTAAGGAGGATGCGAAGACGAGGGGAAGGAGGAGCAGGAGGTGCCCGAGGATTCGGTGGAGCGTTACATGTGGTTCTGGGCCGATGTGCCAACAGTCTCGTGTCGACTCCCTTCAGCGCCGAACTCATGAATGCAGGCCCTCATTTGGACACCCTCAAGTTCGACCCCCTCAGCATATTGTCTCGAGATCGGGGGGGGGTCGACCTTCCTGGGGCCATCTATTACCCCCCCTCGATGGGCCGTTCTGAGGATTTCCCAAGACATTTTCGCGACGGCGGCTTGTGGTCACGGTGTTTCAGCGTACAGCGAGCTTCGGTGACCGATTCTTCCATGACCGCTTCGTGGTGAGTGGTTCGTGTCGGAAGATGTGCAGCCCCGCTCGAGGCCTGGCCGAGGGTCGCTCCGCTCCCTTCGTGTTGGTCGGTTGAGCGAGAAGATGCGCGCCTGGGAGCTGCCAGCAGTGTAACCGCCATGATTCAGGAGGGGAACAAACACACAGACACAATTAATCGGCGATTCCCAGAAAATATGGGAAAATATGGGAAGTGGGGGGGAAGACAAGAACCCAGAAAATATGGGAAAATATGGGGGATATTTTTATTTGTGTGTATTTATTTGTGTGTCCCAATTCCCCTTCAATGATCGTGCATGCGCGAGTGCCCCAGCTTGAGAACGGGGCAGCCCAGCTGTAAGAGGTATGGCCTTCGGGGCCGGGCTCGGGACTCCTCTCGAAGCCTCAGCGGGTCGAGGCCCCTGGCAAGATGGGGTCCTGCCAGCCATCGCGATCGAGTGCGCCTTTGCAGTGTCTGATCTCTTGTGCGACTTTCCCGCGCTTGCTGTGGACTGTACTCCAGATTTCGTAATACAGGGAGGGGGGTCTCATTTCGGGGGGGGGGTTCTTCCAAGCTATCTTGGAGGGCCTGGGGGGGTCCGGGGACGATGTTTTGGAGGGTTCTCCCACGGGGGGGGGGTCTGAAATGGCTTGTCTTGGAGGGTCCAGACCCCCTCCCTTTTATGACGAGATTTGGAGTATGGACTGTACTCTTGCCGCAGCCCTCCTCCAGCCCCTGCCCCGAGCGCGACAATGACGACAGACAAACATCGGCCGCCGCGAGCACCCGGCAGCACCCACTTCTTCATGTGGCACGAGCGCCTCAGCGTGTACTTGGACTCCGCCCTCGGCCTGTCGCACATGCACAACCACAAGCCCAAAGCCTTCCACCGGGACATCAAGAGTGCCAACATCCTGCTCGACAAGCACGGCACTGCCAAGATGGCGGACTTTGGCCTCAGCTGCACATGCGACAAGCCTGGTGGGGACAACCTCCACAAGACCGTGAAGGCAATCAGTGGCACGCCTGGGTACCTTGCCTGGGGGCCTGTCCTGTTATCGCGAGAGGATGACACTGCCAGCTGATGGCCCCTCCCCCCCCCTTTCTTCCACAGGGGGGACGTGCATCAAGAAACCATATGCTTTTTCTTCAGGGTATCCTGGGTTTCTTCTTTCCGCGCGGAGAGCGGTGACCTCCAGCGGCCGTTGAAGAAGCTGCTGCGTTCAGTGTGCTCTGGGTTTTCCCCTGTGTGCATCTTGCGCGCGAGTTTGCAGGGCTGGGTTTCTCGCGAGGATTTCTTGCGGTCTCAGGAATGCCTTGAGTCATTCCCGTGGGCAGGGAGGAACTGGGTCCTATGATGAGTATATGAAGGTCGTGGGGCGCCAACACGAGGGAGAGGGCCGGGGCATGCGGCACGCCCGCGCCGCCTCGGCGTTGACATGTTCGAGGCCGATCTCCTTCCTGGGCCTCGCTTGGCGCCCAGAAATCCAAACAAAGACCCTCGGCGGCAGATACAGTCAACCCGCATAGTAAGGATGGGCAACCTTCCGAAGGGTACCCTTGCATCCTTGCCTCCTCGGTCCATCCTTGGCCACTTTCGTTGGCCGCGCCCCGCTCGAAAAGCCTCGAAATGGGCTTCCGAGGCCCTTGCATCCGTATCGCTCATCCTTGCAATACGGGTTGACTGTGCATGCGAGGTAGATGGGGCCGAGAGCCTCTCTGGGCCCCTGGCAGGGGAGCTCGTTCTGTGTCGAACGGCCTGGGCAGTGGCAGAAACCAGGGCCCACACGGTGAGGGCAGGAATCAGCCGTGTAAGTCCAAGTCTTGCCCGGTTGTCATTTGCGATGCCTTCAGGTACGCCTGCCCCATTTATGCGAAGACTGGGAAGGTCACAGAGGGCAGTGAGGTCTATCCTGTGCACCTGATGGTGAGCTCCCGCCAGCAATTCGGTGCGATTTCGGACTCGTCCACTCTTGGTCGGACGATGCGTATGATTGAAAACCCGGTAGCACTGTTCTGCTATTACCCGCTGCACGTAGCGCAACATGCATTGGTGCATGTAGCAGGTGGCGTGGACCACGTGGTTTGTAAGCTCAGCTCATGTGCCAACATGTTCGTGCGTGTGCCGATACATGCTTGTATTCTCCAAGCAGCACTTGCACTTGGGGGTTCGCACTTGTGTTCTCAGCTGACCGGGCCCCTGAGCCCGTCCGGTCGGCTCGCAACGGGCAGCGCCTGCGACCACTTGCGAGCCATACTCCGGGCTGCTTCATAAGCACGCACACCATGCCACCCTGGCCGACGGCCCGCTCTGAACCCCCAACGCCCACTGAACCCGACCCCTCAAACGGACCCCCCCCTCCTCCCCACGCACTCCGAAGGACAGCCCATTCCTGCGCCCCCACGCGGTTCACCCCCACGCTTATTGACCAACCTGCAGTACCCCACGGGTCCAATCGACGCTGGGGTATCGGATACCACTGCTTTCGCCTGGCTGCAGTCATCATTCCGATTCTGAGCCCCATTTGTTTCAGATATCTGAGCTGCAAGGATCGGGTTCGCATTTGATTGCCTCGGGTCGCTATGGATCAAACGGGTTCCAAGGGAAACGGGTCTTGAGTTTTTTGGCGTTTTCGGGCTCCCAGGGCCCTCCACGGGCCAGGACCGTTGTCTCCTGCCCTCCTGGGGAGTGGCTGTTCCCCTCTGCATCGCTGCGCCTTTGACCAGCACGTTGCAGGGCTCTCGCTGGCTCCCACAGCAGCTTGTTCTTGCTGGCCATGCCGCCACGTATGTACGGGCCACATTCTCAAGCGCGAGTCGGCGCTTGTTGGAAAACGTTTGTGTGAGTGTGTGCGTGCTTTTTTTGTGTGCGCGCGTGTGTGTGTGTGTGTGTGTGTGTGTGTGTGTGTGTGTGTGTGTGTGTGTGTGTGTGTGTGTGTGTGCACGCGCCTGTCTGCGCGCCCACCTTGGGTCTGGGCAGCTGTGCCCAGATGAGGCGTTCCAAAAAGTGCCATGCCTTCGAGGATCGAAGGAGTTGCCATCTCTTCCGCCGCGGAAGGCGGCGGAAGGTCGGTGGAAGTACAACGAGGCCGCCTCCGCTGGCGGACGCCAGCGGAATGGCGGCGGAAGGCGGCGGAGGTCAAAGATGCGCCCCCGAGAGATGAACACGTTTTTGGGTTCAGGGCTGCCGACATCCGCCAGATGGCGCACCTGGTAAGTGGCTCGGTCTGCTCACGGCTCGGGCCTGCGGGCCGCTGGTGTCCCACCTGGCCGTTGGGCTGCCCTTCCCCCCGAGCTGCTGCCGTGCAGGCTGGGCCAGCCCTCGGGAGCGCCCTGCCCACGGCCCCGCCGCCTCGCGCGCAGGCGACGGTAGCCCACCCTCCTCCTCCTCCTCCTCCTCCTCCTCCTCCTCCTCCTCCTCTGCTCCTCTTCCTCCTCCTCCTCCTCCTCGTCCTTCTCCCCATCCCCCTCCTCCTCCTCCTCCTCCTCCTCCTCCTCCTCCACCTCCTCCTCTCCTTCTCCTCCTCCTCTCCTCCTCCCCTCCTCCTCCTCCTCCTCCTCCTCCTCCTCCTCCTCCTGGCGAGGAGATACCAGATGATCAGGACCCCGACGCGAGTGGCTAGCTCATCTTTCTTTGTGAGAGGGAGTGTTTCAAGCAGCAATACCACCAGCAGCAGCAGCAGCAGCAGCAGCAGCAGCAGCAGCAGTAGTAGTAGTGGTTAGGTCAGTGGAGACTGGTCCCCCTTTGGCACGCTCCGCCTCCTCCTCCTCCTCCTCCCCCTCCTCCTCTCCTCCCCTCCTCCTCCTCCCCCTCCTCCCCCTCCTCCCCCTCCTCCCCCTCCTGGTGGTCTCTGTCTGTGCTTCGGGCTCGCTTCCAGCCCATCGCGCTCTTCAGCGGTCTCTGGCTGGCCGTCCTCGGGCTCGGCCGCATTCTCGGGCGAGGATTTGGTCTTGTGATCGTCGGCGAAGCGGCTTGTTGTCTCCCATTCCGCCAGCGCGCTGCCCATCGGCCTGGTTGGCGCGCGGCTACGGTTGGCCCCCAAACGCTTGTACAGCTTCTTCGGAGCAGCCACAGCAGGTGCACTTGGTGCAGTGGGCGCCACTGCCAGGTTTCCAGCCACTTGTCCTTATGGTCCGCCGCTCTTTTCTCCCCAACCAGTGCTTGCACTTGGTTTCTGATTTCTTTTCTCAGGAACTGGGCTGGTGCGGCGGTCTTCTGGCGGCTACGTTGTCGCTGTCGCCGCCCCGTCGCTGCCTCGTCGTTGGCCGTCGTCTGGGCCGGTGTGACGGTCTGGCGGCTATGTTGTCGCCGTCGCCGCCCCGTCGCCGCCTCGTCGCCGCCTGTTTTCTGGGCCGGTGCAGTTGTCTGTCAGCTCTGTTATCGACGTCGCCGCCCCGTCGCCGCCTCGTTGTCGCCCGTCGTCTGGACCGTTGCGGCTATGTTGTCGCCGTTGCCACCCCATCGCCGCCTCGCTGCCGCCCTGGATTGCACAACGTAGATTCTCCAGTCTGAAAAAGGAATAGATCCCCCCCTTCGGGATTAACAGTACCCCCTTTTCGCATTACAATTTACATATGATTATGCCCCATCGTCCATTTTAAGTATGAACCCATACCATCCCAGGCAGGCCGGTATCGACCCCCCCCGTCATTCTTTGCAGCCTTTCTTATCCGCGCGCATTCGTTTATCAATAATCATCTGTTTTCAATAACCCATTGCAAACAGTGGGGCGAAGTGCGCACGCGCGCGTCGTCCCGCGCGGATGCCGAAATCCGAAATTTCTCAAAAAAACCTTAGGCTTCGTACGGATCTCAAAACCGGGTGTCCAAACAACATATAAAAACATATGGTTTCGCAGCGCGGATTTTCAAAAAAAGCTTGCGCTCGCGCCATTGCGAATTCTCAAAGAAAACAATCGTTTTTTTCAGCATTCTCTTAAATTGTTATTAAGCGGACTTCGCGCGCGCATGTCGAAATCGTTCGAACCCCCTTGCGCGCGAGCTGTCGCGAGAACCCTTTGCAAAACATGGGACGAAGTGCGCTCGCGCGTCGAAATCCGTCAGCAACCTGTGGTATCGTAATGATTTCAAAGCCGAGTGTCCCGAAACTATGTCAAAACAAATGGTTTCGGAACGTCAGTGCTCAAAAAAACCTGCGCTTGGGTTCTTGCGAGTCCTAAAGAAAACAACAGTTTCTTCAACATGTCATGGAATTCTGCCAAAAGGGCCTCTCGCGCCGCACGCCGAAATGATTCGAACGCCCTTGCACGCGCGTGCTGGGAGGGGGGGGCACGATCTGTGTCAAATTATTTCAAGTGGACCACTCTCGCGCGTCGGCCGCGCGCGCGCATGTCGAACTCCTTCCACGACCTTCATCACCGACGCGAGTACACCGTCATCGTCGTTGGCGTGATCCGCGTCGGCGCCGTCACTGGCCGTGTCGTCGCCGCTGTCATCATTGCCACCAGCATCGCTACTATCACCATCGTGTCTACCGTTGTCGACCTTGCCATAATACCGCCTTCCCAAGTCGCCGATTCGCAGTGAAGTGCCCGCTGGGATGCGCCTGGCGGTCAGCGCCACCGCGGCCGCGTCGCTCGCGCCAGACTAGCTGGCGGTTGCGCGCGCGAGCAGGCGCGGGCTAGCGCGACCGCAAACATGTACCAGCCAGCACCACGCACTCATCACAATCGCCGCCGCACGGGTTTACAAACCAAATTGCGTGTGGGTGGGTGGGATGATTGCGCGAGCAATGGAGTTGACAACCCACTGCGAACAGAACTTGCTTGCACCGCATAGATTGCACCACAAAGCTGCACCGCATTGGTTGCACCACATGGATTGCACAACGTAGCTTGCAAAACATAGATGGCACCGCATATATTGCACCACGTGGGTTGCACCACGTAATGGGGGCACAACGTACATCGCACCACATATATTGCACCACATAGACTGCACAGCATAGCTTGCGAATCATATGATGAATCGAATCGGGCGCACCACATGTACTGTGAAACATGTGTTGCACACACACACACATCGGGTGCACAACCTATATTGCAAGACGCAGATGGCATCTCATCGTATGCACGCAGCACATGTATATATATCGCATACATACATACATACATACATACACACATACACACATATATATATACATACAGATGTTGCACAGCGTTGACTGTACCGCAAATTCTGCACCATTTAGATTGCATAGTTTGCGCAACGTATATTGCACACGCTGTATTGCACCACGTGTAGGGAACAGCACATATGTTCCCCCCATGCGTTGCACAACAGGTAAGGCACCTCTTAGAGATTTTTCGGAAAAAAATGAATACTTCACGCTTCGTGTATCCCCGCCAGCCCATTCACACACTTTGCCCATGAGGGTTGACAGGGGAAAGGGGCGAATATGCATATGCAGTGAAACAAAGCGGCCAACCTGAGTGACCATTGAAATCTCTGCAGGTAAGAGGTTGGCCTTGGAGGACCTCTTCGGGCCATCCCCGGGCCCGCGCGGGGACGAGGTGGGTGTGTGGTGGTCACTGCATTAGGGAAACAAGTCCCGAGCAAAGCAACACGCACCACGTCCACGACGACGCCGACGACAACGACGACGACGGAGACGAGGCGCCCAGACGATCCGCACCGAAGCACGGATTCGGGAAAGGGCTTACCCTGCAGGTTCGGTTCAACAGCACATCGTTGAGCGGTGCTGCAGCATCCCTTGAGCACAGGCCCCCCCAGAGCATCAGCCGGACAAGCCGGGGACGAGGTGAGGATGAGGATGAGGTGGATGAGGAGGGGGGGGAGGACGAGAAGTAGGAAGAGGAGGAGGAGGAGACGAGGAGGAGGAGGAGGAGGACGGCGACGACGACGACGACGACCACAACGCCGAGAAAGAGGAGGAACAGGAAACGGAAGACGATGAGGGCGAGGACGAGGACGAGGACGAGGAGGAGGAGGAGGAGGAGAAGGAGGGGGAGGATGAGGAGGAGAAGGAGGATAACGAGAACGAGGACAGAGCCCTCAAAGTTGCCTCTTGGAACCCTCTTGGGGCTCTTAGGGCTCTTTTGGGTGGTCTTCGGGTTCTTTTGGGGCCATCTTGGATGCTATCGATCACAGAGGGGGGGGGGGGGGGGGGGGGGGCAATTGCCCCCCCCCCCCCCCCCCCCTTCCCATCCCTTGGGACCACCACCATCGCTTGTTGGGGCCCTCATAGGGCGCTCTTGGGCCGCTCTTGGGCGCTCTTGGGGCCGTCTGGGGAACCTCTTGGCGGCCTCTCTTGGGCCCCTCTTGGGCCTCTCCTGGGCCATCTTCGGGCCATCACCAGGTTTCAAAATCGCATCGGAAGCGAAAAGGCGAGAAGTCAAACATCAGGTATTTCTGTTTAGGTTTTGAAGGGTTCGGGCATCTCGGGGCTACATATGGGGGCTCCGAAAGCACTTGAAACCGTCTTGTGGTCCCCGTCGAGCCTCTTGGAGATATGCCGGAAGCTATTTTGAATCATCGTCGGCTATCTCTACCCATTTTGGAGGCCATTTTGGAGCATCGGAGGCCCTTTTTGGAATTATCTTGAGCTATCGTGGGGCGCTCTGACCAAAACTCTAGGGGGAGAGGTAAACCTCCCGGGCAGGAAGAGGTTTTGAAAGAGGAAAGAGAGAACTCGTCAGACCACCTTAGCCCACAGAGCTGGTGGGATTAGGATCTACATCGCCCCCCGGGGTTCTCCCTCCCCCCGGGGATGCGCAATTTACATCTGATTATGTCCCGCCCACTCTACCCATACATTCATATCATCGCAGCCAAACTGGTACCCCCATTTTTCGCACAAAAACTGCGCGCAAATTCGTTTATTACAAATCATCGGTTTCCCAAAATCCCTTACAACAAATGTGATGAAGTCCACGCGCGCGTGGTCGCGCGCCAATGCCGGAACCATTCAAAACCTAGCATTACACAGGCATTCCAAGTTCATGGTTTTGCAACGTAGTGTTTCAACATAGTCTGCGCACTCTAGCGACTGCTTGAGACAACCGTCGGTTTTTCAACGATTTCATCACACTAAGCCAAACGGGTCTTTCTCGCGCATGTCGGAAACATTCGAACGCCCTTTCGCGCGTGCTGGGGGCACGATCCACTCGCGGGCCACTCGCGCCACTCGCGCCACTCGCGCCCGTGGGGCCACTCGCGTCCGGCGGCCGCGCGCCCGCATGCCGAAATCCTTCCACAACCTTCGCCGCAGACACGTGGACACCATAGCCGCCATCGACATGATCAGCATTGGCGCCGTCATTGGCCTTGCCGTCATCATTGTTGTCGTCGTTGCCAGCATTGCTACCATTATCATCGTGTCTGCTGTTGTCAGCGTCGCCATGATACCGCGCCCGCCCGAATCAGCGACTCGCACTGATGTGCCCGCGCGTCATCGCGGCCTGCGAGACGCGTTGGGGAGTCCCTAGCGGCCATCGCCACGGAGGTCACGTCGGCAGCGCCAGACTAGCTGGCCGCTTTGTGCGCGAGATTGCTTGCGCTAGCTCGGGGCAGCGATGCGCCAGCCAGCGCCAAGCAGTCATCGCAATCGCCGCCGCATGGGCTTTGCAAGCGAAGTTGCGGGTGGGTGGGTGGAATGGTTGCGTGAGCAATGGAGTTGACAGCTTCAAGCTCGGCGTGGTGAGTTGAAGCACGCAGGTTGCACCACATAGATTGCACGACGTAGATTGCACAACGTAGAGTGCTAGAAGCACATTGTTTGGGGTCCGCGCTGGCTAACATGTGTTCCTCGTCTTGCCTGTCCTGGTGCACTCCGTGCTCGTCGGCGTTGTCGACTCGGCCTCGTGGCCGCCTTTTTTTTGCGGCTTCGCCTCGCGTTCAGTTCATCATGCCTGCTTGGTCTTTCCGTGCCGCCTGCGGGCTTGCCGTTGGCCTTCTTT